CTTTTGAAATGTGATAGATCAGGCAGAAAAATCCCAAAACTGGATCTTTGAATATGAAAATTAAAAAGGTTGGTTTGGTAGATACATGAAAACCTCTGTCCCCGGCAGATAAGATGTACATTTTTTTTGTGCACACACTGGTTATCTACAGACATTGAAAAAGACTTGGTCAAAAAGAAGTCTTGACAAGTTTCAAAAAGTCATTATAATAAATACCATCCTTTCTGGCCATGATACAATTAAATTAGAATGTAGTTACTGATACATTTAAATTAACCTTTACCATTTAATTTTTTGTTTTATCTCTGTAAGCTCAGATTTTCATTCTTCTATTTCCAGTCTCATGCTGATCATTTACTTTTCAGATTCCTGAAATAGTTGCTCCATATATTCTTTACAGGTTTTATGGCTGCATTCAGTGGAAAAGACAGAGTGGAATGCACTTTATCTTACCCCAAACTGGCACCTGTTAACCTGTTGCACAACTTTCAGATCTTTTTCAGTATGGTGTACATACACATACACACAGACATTTTCTTTTGTAACTTGAATTTTTTACTTCATATTAGGAACATGTTTGTAGGACATTAACATTTTTCACATTGTTATTTCAATCACTGGCATGTATTACATTTTATAATTCTATAGTTTATTCCCTTTTTGTTTTGACATTTAGGTTATTTTTCATTTTGTAAAATGCTTTAACAAATATACTGGTGGGTAAATATGCAGGCACGCTTGTTTATTTTCTTAGGAGAAATTCTTACCAATTTATAGAATCAAAATTTATGAGTAATTTTAAGGTTTTTGTATGTATGGCCAAATTACCCTGTGAAAAAATAATATTTTCTTCCAACCACATTTTTTTGTCCACTGCTGTTTTTTATTATTAAAAAATATTTATTTGGAACTCCTGTAGATGGAAAATGCTGTCATTTATTTCATTGCTACTTGGGATTACCATTTTTTAATATTTTATTCTCTTCACTATGTAGGAAAGCTGATTTTTACATTTTGTTAGCTGATGAGTATTCACTTGAGTCTTTTGCAACTTCTGAACTGCATCTTTTGCATTTTCTATATAAAAAATACATTCATTCTTTGTGTAATGATAATTTGGTTTTCCTTGTCTGTACTTATTTCTCTTTTTTACCTTTATTTAGTTGTTTAGAATTTCTGTGACATCTTAAATAATACTGATAGTGAGTATCCTCAACTCAAAGCTATTTCTTTTTTAGTTCCTACAGTAACTCCCCTGTTATCTTATAATTACCAAGTCTGATAGATGCTTTTTTAATTCATGTTTTATTGATCCTGTCTACTATATTCACATTAAAGAATCTTATTCATCCCTTAACCTTTTAAAAGCGTTTTACTTTGAAATAATTTGAATGTTCCAAAAAAGGCAAGAATCATTATGAGGAACTTATTTTCCCTAAGTTGCCTATATGATGCTGCATAACTCCCAAATAAATTTTACACCAAAAACTTGATCAAGACATTTTTAGGTACTGTAACCAAGTCATCAACCATGGAATTTCTGATTTTGAGCAACTTGGCTTCCCAGTGACCATATTAAGATAAATTGATTTCAGATGTTGTTTCTTTGTATCCAGAATTATTTGATACATGCCATTAATTTAAGAATGGCAGAGAAATAGATATAATTTTTGCCCTCTAGGACTTCATAGTTTAACAGACAAGGTAAGTACACATGAACACACTCAAGTCGCTGTAGAAACATAAGCCTAAGAAAAGTGGTAAAGACAGTCTCCTTAGTGTTGATATAGCGGGGACCATTAGAGAAGAGGATATAGGGAAGAGGACATTCATACGTGGCCTGAATGAGAAGGTAGAATAGACAAAAAACTATTCTAAACAGAAGGAAGAATATGAATTCATGAAGTCAATGACAATTCATAGTGTTTTATCTGCTCCTCTGGGCATAGAAGTATGTGTTTGGAGGAATGGGATTTGTGTATTTAGTTGTTTAGAATTTCTGTGACATCTTAAATAATACTGATAGTGAGTATCCTCAACTCAAAGCTATTTCTTTTTTAGTTCCTACAGTAACTCCCCTGTTATCTTATAATTACCAAGTCTGATAGATGCTTTTTTAATTCATGTTTTATTGATCCTGTCTACTATATTCACATTAAAGAATCTTATTCATCCCTTAACCTTTTAAAAGCGTTTTACTTTGAAATAATTTGAATGTTCCAAAAAAGGCAAGAATCATTATGAGGAACTTATTTTCCCTAAGTTGCCTATATGATGCTGCATAACTCCCAAATAAATTTTACACCAAAAACTTGATCAAGACATTTTTAGGTACTGTAACCAAGTCATCAACCATGGAATTTCTGATTTTGAGCAACTTGGCTTCCCAGTGACCATATTAAGATAAATTGATTTCAGATGTTGTTTCTTTGTATCCAGAATTATTTGATACATGCCATTAATTTAAGAATGGCAGAGAAATAGATATAATTTTTGCCCTCTAGGACTTCATAGTTTAACAGACAAGGTAAGTACACATGAACACACTCAAGTCGCTGTAGAAACATAAGCCTAAGAAAAGTGGTAAAGACAGTCTCCTTAGTGTTGATATAGCGGGGACCATTAGAGAAGAGGATATAGGGAAGAGGACATTCATACGTGGCCTGAATGAGAAGGTAGAATAGACAAAAAACTATTCTAAACAGAAGGAAGAATATGAATTCATGAAGTCAATGACAATTCATAGTGTTTTATCTGCTCCTCTGGGCATAGAAGTATGTGTTTGGAGGAATGGGATTTGTGGGTTGGAGAGTGTTGGATATTGATGGTAATTTCTGGGAAGATAACTAGGTTGTTGTTTTACAGCCACTTACTAGGATGGTTCTTAGCTCCAGAGTGACCTTGAATTTTCAAATGTGGAATGGATCTTGATTACTCTTGTCATTTGAACAGACTTCCAGGGAATATCTATGAGAGCTTTTGGATCTGCTGTTTGATACTCTTCTGTAGCTCATGTAGTTATTAGTTATTAGATCACTTAGTATTAATTTAGTTATTATGAGGGATTAAAGAGATGATGTGTTATTGAGTTCATCAGTTAGTCACTGTTACTTTAGGGTTGCATTTTTAATAAGGGAACATCAACAGTCTTCTATAGAAGTAGTTTTTCTTTTGAGATGTTTGATTCTTTCACTTTGGTAAAACAGTTGGCTTATACTTTTGAGATGAGTGGCTTATCTCAATTTGTCAGTTTTACAATGAGATACTGAAGGAAAATATTAAAAAATACTTGAAAAATCCATCAGTAGTGTTATGTCAGTAAAAGTATTTATAGTTATATGTTTCTATGACTCCCAATCTATCTTTGAGAGTTTTTGTTGTGAAGATAATGGAAGCCCAAGAGCTCTTAAGAGATTTTATGAATTCCTTATTGATGACACATTTTTCAAAAATAGGACAAACAATATTAGTTACATTTCTAGACTACTTAGAAACAGGATGTTAATTTTTGTTTTTATTGTTAACATCTGTGTTGAGTAGCATAAGGGAATATACATTCTAAGGTTGAAAATTTTGATATTTAAAATTTCTTTTGGAAGCTTAATTTGTTAGGCATTCAACTATTTACACTTACTAATCATAATCTCGTACAAGAGTATTTGTTGCCATAAGTTTATGATATTTCGTATGTTAATTTCTAGCATATGATAATTGGCACTCTAAAAGTTGCTGATAGTTTTTGTATATGACAAAAATTTGAACTTAGTAATTTACATTTCTTTTCTTTTTTATCTATTGGGAATGAATAAGGAGTTAGTCTTTGCAAACATGTTATGGTTGAATATTTAAATACACTTTCTCCCAGCAGGCTTTGGTGTAGATGTTAATAATGTCAGTTGCTGACAGAAGTTGATTCTGTTTTGTCCAGTAAAGAACACAAGATTATTATGTTATGAAATAGCTAAAAATTTAATTAGCTTTTAAATAGGTTTTATAGTGGAAACTACATTTGAATAAAGTGAAGTTTTTAATCTTGTATGTCTTTTTAATGCTCCTTATATTTGTATTTTCAGTTAAATTCCTGAATAATGTATCTATACAAGTATATATAGTGTGAGAAACTTCCACACTAGCATGAAAGTAAAGGAACCCTTTTGTAGATTTTGGGCAAACTTTGGGATAAGAGAATGTTCACTGGTTCTGTGGTTTTGAATTTTTTTTTTTTTTTTCAGAGGGCATCTCTCATATGTGGTTTTGAATTTTTAAAAAATTATTTCAGTTTCTCTTTTATTTCCCTGTGTTCTCATTAAGCATTCTCTTTCCTTCTATACATTTCTTTTTTCTTCATTGTGTTCTTTTTTTCTCCTTCTTTCTTTAATTCTCTCTGTATTTTCTTCCTCATTCATACTCTCGCCCCATCCTGTTTCAATATTGTATATTAGTAAGTGGAAATAGTTGAAACCATTATGATGGTCATGTTTATCCTTTCTTTCTTCTTCCAGGCCTAACTTTGAAATATTTTTATGGCTATTAAAGTAGGAAGACAAGATGGCAGCTGGTTCAAAAAGAAAAAAGAAGCTTAAATAATCTATTCTTCTTCTACTGTATTATATAATCAGCATATAGTAACATTGTTTGATTTGGCAAAATGTTTATAAAATAAGCAGAAACCATACAGAATACTTTTGTAGTATAGGATTATTATAGGCATCTAGTTTTATGTTATTCAAAAGGTATGATCTCTGTGATTTCTCTTAGTATATGAGTACTTCACTATATAGAACTTCTCAGTAATGATTTTTGTTGGTCTGGATTTGCTACTTATTAGCTGTGTCATTCTGGCAAGCCTGTTTTTGCCTGTCTGATTGTTAAGTTTCCTCTTTGCAAAATATGCTAAATGATACTCAACTTTCACATACATTAAGATCATTGACACTTAAAGAATAATTATTGATAAGGCATGTGACTGATTTAATCCTTTTTTTCTCCCTCTTTTATAGGTTATGTGCAAAGTCTGATTAGACGAGTTGTAAATAATGTAAATATTGTTATAAATAATCTCATACTAAAATATGTTGAAGATGATATTGTTCTTTCAGTCAATATTACTTCTGCAGAATGCTATACAGTAGGTGAATTATGGGATCGTGCATTCATGGATATTTCTGGTGAGTTTCAAGAATAGTATAGATTTTTTTCACTATTGAAACAGTTGTCTTGGATTTTAAACCTTTTTGGACCAACTGGCTCTTTGATAAATCTTTATACCTACAGCCTGGAAAAATGCACATATGTAACATTTATCATTAATTGCAGGAGGTTCATAAACCCTCAGATTAAAAAACCCTTGTTCTTTAGTATCCTTAATCTTTATTCTTTCTTAAGTATCACATGCTTGTTTCAAAAATGATACATAATGTTTTACGATACTGTGGGTTGTAATAATAAAAATTAAATAATTTTAAAATAAATAATTTAGTTAAAAATTTTAATGTTTTTGAAGGAGAAAAGGGATCATATTGATTTTGCATAACTCAGTAATGGTAAAACAATGTATCTGACCGACTTATATTTTAGGTTTGTATATTCTAGTGCATATTAGGGACTTCTGGATAGTCCTGAAGCCCTCTTGAAATAACTACCACTTATTACCATTTTATTTACTATGTTCTATATGTTAGACACTGTAAGCATTGAAAAGAGAGCTACAAAAGAAATAGACACTGCTTCTTACTTTTGTCAGAGATGTTAAATAAGTACTCATATTTTCTGTTACATGCTCTTATAGGTTAATGAGTAGATATTTTTGGAAAATATAGTAAGGAGATTATTGTGAGCACCTTTTGTTTGTGACTTGCCGTGCTACATTATTTGTTAAAAGTGCTTGCACTAAAGTTAGACTACCTGAGAGTTTGAATCCTAGCTTTCCCACTTGGTAGAGATGTATGACGTCAGGTCAGTTACTCTGATGTACTGTTTCTCAGTTTCCTCATTTGTAAAATGGGTATAAAATAGGATCCTCTTTATAGAGTTATTAAGTTAATTAATGCACTGAAGGGAATACAAAAATGTCCTATCATAGTCATTGTTCAGAAAATGAGCTGCTGTAATTATTCTTTGTATTCTTTTTCTCAAATTCTCATAACTCCAGAAGATGATATCCTTTCTTGTTCATTTAGTCATATATTTATGTATTTATCTTAAGTCATACTTAAAGGAAAGCAAAATGAAGTTGGGTCTCAGGGCTCCTTAACTTGCCTAGTTAAGGCATACCACTAGGAATCAGCAGAGGTAGTACACAGGTACATTTTTGTGTTGTCCAAGTTTCAGCCATCACATTCTAAAAAATGAAGAATAATCCTGATCTCACAACTCTGTGATGCATAAATAAGAGTCTATGCAAAGGCTGAAGCATTGTTTCTGAGACATTTTTGTTTTTTTGTAAAGTATAGTTTATATTCAAATTAGTTTCAGGTGTATAACTTAGTGATGCAATCATTACATACATTACAGATGCTCACTATGATAAGTGCAGTTACTATCTGCCACCCTACAAAGTTATCACAGTGTTATTGACTATATTCCCTATAGCTGTACTTTTCATCCTCTTGACTTACTTATTTTATAACTGAAAGTTTGTACCTTTTTATCTACCTCATCTGCTTTACCTGTCTCCTATCCCTCCTTCCTCTGGCAGCCACCAGTTTATTCCATTTATTTATGACTTTATTTCTGTTTTGTTTGTTCATTTGCTTTATTTTTTAGATTCTACATATATGTGAAATCATATGGTATTTGTCTTTCTCTGTCTGACTTCACTTAGCATAATACCCTCTAGGTACATCCATGTTGTGGCAACTTTTTTATGGCTGAGTAATATTCCATTGCATGTATTTACTACATCTTCTTTATCCATTCATCTCTTGATGGATGCTTAGGTTGCTCCCATACCTTGGCTATTGTAAATAATGCTGCAATAAACATAGGGGTGCCTATATCTTTAGAGCTAGTGAATGTTTTCTTTGGGTATATACCCAGAAATTTAATTACTGCATTGTGTGGTATTCAAAAATTTTTTTAGCAACTTCCATACTGCTTTCCATAGTGGCTAAACCAGTTTACAACCCACCAACAATGCACAGGGGTCCCCCTTCTGTCTACATCCTCACCAGATGCCTCCTTCTCATCCTGTGTGGAAAGAAATACTTGATAAAAAGGTCAGAAGAAGAAGTTATGAAAAATAGGTAGAAAATGGAACTGGATAATGCAGGATTGAATAAAGGAGTTGACATTTTAGAGGAAGAAATTTCATGTAGAGTTTTAATATAGGAGTAAAGAAAATATTTCAAAAAATATGGGATATAACAATGAGTTAGAAAGAATCTTAGACTGAAGGTTAGGGGATCTTTGTTTGAATCTTCCTTCCATCATCACTAGCCTTGAGTGAGTCATTTGTAAGTATGGATTATCATTAGTGCCAACCTGCCAATGTATCATGTATTTATGAGAATCAAATATGATACCACAAGAAAATTCATTATGATGGTGGTGATAATGACAGTTGAATAGCATCTTCCATTTATTGAATGCTTGTGAACTGCTGGGCCTGGATGCTGTGCCTTTTACATCATCTTGTAATTCTTTATCTTTCTGAGTTAGATGTTACTATTTCCCCTTTTATTAATTTTTAATGCAACATTTGATATTTAAAAAGGGTGTTATGTAACAAATATTTGTTACAAGACAATTTAAGGATCACCTAACCTCTGGGTAACTCCCACTAACATGCATTTCCCTATCCCATCCTTTTGCTTCATCCTAGAATTAATTGTTGTATGAAATTTTATTCAGTTTTGCTTAAAAAAAAAGTGATATAAAAAGAAATGAAGTTCTGATATATTCTATAGCATGGATGGACCGTGAAAACATTATGCTAAATGAAAAAATCCAGACAGCAGATGTATATTGTATGATTCCATATATATGAACAATGCAGAATAGGGATATCTATACCCATAGTTGATTGCTTAGGGATTGGGGAGTGGGGATGGCAAAGAGAGGATTTGATATCTAGAGGGTACAGAGTTTCTTTTTTGAGGTGATGCAAAAGTTTCAAGATGGATTGTAGTGGTGTTCTACAACAATGTCAGTATGTTAAATGCTGCTCTGTTGTACACTTTAAATTTGTTAATTTTATATTATGTGAATTTTAGTTTAATTAAAGTTTTATCAGGTGTGAATATATACATAAAGTATTTAGTTATACATATTTTTGAGCTTTGTAAAAATAGTGTTCTTTACGTTGACAATTTGAGGTTGGAGTAAAACCTCAAAGGTTTGCTGTTTTCAATCAGCATTTTGCCTTTAATAATTTTCCATATTGTTGCATGAATTTGTAGATCACTTGTTTTACTTATGAATAATATCTGTTTAAATTTGCCAAACTTAATTATCTGTTCTCTTGATAATGGGCATTTTGGATGTTTTCTGATTTTTGCAATTACAGACAGTGCTGCTATGACTGTTTTTGTTTATATCTTTTGATGGATATGTGTAAGCATGTCTTTAAGACATATGCTTAGGAGTGGGTTTGTTAGATGGGAGGATGTTCAACTGTTCACATTTCAAAATAATGCCATTTTTCAGAGTGCTTATTGGGTAGGCATTATTTTTCCCATTTTATAGATTAAATTGCAGCACATTATCAAAAGTAAAGATTCATTTTGTAAGGTTTTAAAAGACAGTTTCTGTTATATTTAGTGTTTAAAAAAAACATTTTCAAAGCTCAATACCTTCCTTTCTCAATGAATAATTTTCTAGAGTATCCTTGAAATATGACCATTGTGCTCTTACAGCATAATAGATGAGAACATGTTCTCTGGAGTAAGATTGCCAGAGTTCAAATTACAGCTTTGCTCTTTGTAAACTTTCTAACATTAGATTATTTCCCCTTATTGTGCTTCCATTTTCACATCTTTTAAACACAGCCATATAAATATAAGAGATAATGGATGTAAAGACTTAGAATAGTATCGAATAGCAAATACTCAGTAAATTAAAATTATAAAGAGAGGAAAAGAAGCAATTAGAGGGTTTCCTTCATTTCCAGTCTTATATTTTCTTTAATTTGTGTACATGTATATAATATCAGTAACTAAATCACATATATATGATGTAAAATTAAGTAAGGTGTGTGTAATTTTTTTCAGCTAAAACAAAGTTTATTTGCTAATAAAATTTTGCTTTTTTCACATATGTGCCTACTCTTTAATTTTTACATCTAAAAACTTAAATCCAAAAAAGGAAAAGAAAATTAAAGGTTGCATTAATCAGTGGTTGCCAGAATGTACTGAGAAATAGTGTCACAGAATGGAATAAAGCATATTTTATTGTTTTAAAGGTTCCCATGTCCATAGCGTGGGGGTAGCTGCTAACTTAAAATCACTGACCAAGGAGATTTGGACCTACTATTTGCCTAGAAATTGCTTATTAAAAATAAAAGTACTATTTGCTGAAGGTTTCACTTTCTAGTTTGACACTCTACCTGGAATTGTTTCATTCTCATTTTCTTCAAACAAATCTTTATACTCTTATTTTTTAATTTGATAATTTGTTCCTTGGTAATTCATTATTTAGAGCAGGGCTACCCACTAGAATTTTCTGTGACGGGAGTGTTTTATATCTTTAACGCCCAGTACTGTAGCCACTGTAGCCACATGTGGGTATTGAGCAATTGAAAAGGGGCTAATGCAACCAAGGATCTGAAATTTTATTTTTATATAATTTTAATTAACTCATACATAAATTTAAATAGCTGTATTCCAGTGATGACTACCGTATTGGAGAGTAGTACCAGTACACACGTTGGTGTAAGATAAATATTAAATGTTATTCAGAATATTCTTTTTAATATGGTTTCCGAAGTACTTTATTATTAAATATTTCATTACATGTAGCAAAATGTGGAAGTTTTCATAAATTTTGCTTTAAATCTGTTAGGTGTCAAGCAAATTGGTCACAAACGACTTCATTTCTCTGGCTTCTATTTGATTCTTCATCCATAAAATGAGGATTATTTTGCCTATTTTATAAGGTTGATGGAAAATTTAAGTGATATAATAAATGCGAAGTTCTTTGCACAGGTTCTGGCATTAAGAATTGAATGTTCTATTAATATTATTTCCACCATTTTTATTATTTTTACTAATAAATTGTAGTTGCCTTTTTTCTCTAACTTTCCTTTTTACTTAAAATGTTTTTCTTTTCTTTTTAGCAACTGATCTGGTGCTGAGAAAGGTTATCAATTTTTCCGACTGTACAGTTTGCCTTGATAAACGAAATGCTAGTGGTAAAATAGAATTTTACCAGGATCCTTTATTGTACAAATGTTCCTTCAGAACTCGTCTGCATTTTACATATGACAACCTAAATTCCAAGATGCCATCTGTTATTAAAGTAGGTGTTCCTTTTTCTAGTAGTAGAGTTGCATGTCTTCATTTTGTTTATTGGTTCTTTTGTGTGCTAATACAAAACAAAGAAGAAATTAATCTTATATATTCCATTAGTTTTTGTAAAGTTTTTACAAGTATTTGTTACTGTTATTTGTTATATATTTATAACTTATTGTATTATGTACTTTAGTGGAGATATTTTGGGGATAAGTTTTTTTCTCCCTGTGACTGTAGTTTCATTTTTAGTTTGCCTCGCTGTCTATTAGTGTTTTTCTCTTTAAGTAGATAAAGGTGATCATATAAAAAAGTATATTTATACCCACTCTGGACTGAATATAAATCTATATTTCAATCCTTATAATTTGTTTTGCATGATCTCATAACTATAGTTATTATCCCTTCTCTTTCTTAGATAACTTTGCTAGGCTGAATTTGCTTACCTAATATCTTAGTTTATTGATTCAGGAAATTTCAGCTTTAGAGCTATGGTTTCAAAATGCAATTACAATGTTAGAGTATGGAAATTTTTCAGGTAATGTTTTGTTCAATATGAAAATTTGTTCTCCAAGGTATTGGTATATATATTCAATGTATATAGTTAGTCTCTAAGTGTAAATCATGTACTTTATTAGGTAACAGTTTTCTAAACCTCTATCTGTATATCTACTTATCAGCCTTTAAAAAGGCATTCACACAGTGACTTGTGATATTGTTATAATATGGAATTAATTTTTATTGCTGAATTGCATGTGTTTGAGTATTAAAGTTCTATAATGGAAAAACAGGTCTTAACTGAACATGGTATTGACTACTCTGCCTGTCTGAGTACAGATGTTTAAATTATTTTTTTATATTATGTCTTTTGAAGACATATAACACTTATTATTTTACTTACCTTTACTATATATGTATATTTTTAAATTCATTTTATTATCATTAATCTACAATCACATGAAGAACATTTTGGTTACTAGACTGCCCCTTCACCAAGTCCCCACCACAAACTCCACTACAGCCAATGTCCACCAGTGCAGCAAGATGCCGCAGACTCAACTATTTGTCTTCTCTGTGCTGCACATC